AGTCTCCCAGGGGGCTGTTTCTTGTAACTGTCAGGCTATTCTTTGAAGGAGAACTCCCTTCTAGTCCCTGGCAGGTATTCAATGACCTTCAACAAAAACTGCAAGAAGCGCTCGATACCACTGCTGAGTCTCTAGGCTCCTTGCAGCGGCAGGTTACTTCATTGGCACAAGTGGCTTTATAGAACTGAAGGGCGATTGATCTCCTCACTGCAGAAAAAGGGGGTACATGCCTGTTCCTCAGAGAGGAATGTTGCTACTATGTTAATGAGTCTGGGCTAATAGAAAAGAATGTTGTTAAATTGCAGGAATTATCGACTCAATTGCTCAAACCCACCTCCCCTAATCCCATAACGGGGTTCTTCCAATCCTCTCTCGCCACATACTTGCTACCTCTCTTGGGGCCCCTTATTGGGATGCTCCTTTTTTGCGCTTTTTTGCCCTGCATAATGAAGTTCCTTCAAACCCAATTACAGAAAATTTCTAATCAAACTTTCAACCAGCTTCTGCTTAGGCACTACCAGCCTCTGATGAGCGATGAACCCCCAACATCTTCAAGAGAACAGCTCACTCAGTGCTGAAGCTCACCACCAGGCATGATGGAATGCAACGGACACTGGACAGTGGGAAACAATGAGCCTGGAGAATCTCTTAATCTGCCAACCTGGATTCTTGAGCCTTTATGTCCTTTTAAGCCTCCTCATGGCCCTTGGCCTCTTCTCTGTCAGTCCCCCAACATGGAACTTCTGCCCCAAACTGACATTTGCTTTAATTTTTATCTTCATCCTGTTTCTGTTCGCGCTGATCTTCTTCAGGTGCTGGTGATGCCATGTCGAGGCAACGCTTTCAATATTTCCTAGAGTCTCTGTTACAGGACCAGTGGCTGATACCAACAATCTCCTCCATCCAGGACTGGTTCAATGCCATCGACAACTTGTGGCTTCAGGGAACCTTCATAGACTTCACCCCTACAGAAGTAGCTATCTATAGCCACTGGGTTTTATTTCTGGCTGCCATGATATCCTCAGACCCACCCCCCGAACATTCCTCCACTTCCCCTTCTAGGCCCCACGCCACCCCCCACACAGCAGGAAGCAGCCAGATCTGACCAATGACGCCCCAGTTCCTAAGAAAACAAAAAGGGAAGAATGTTTGGAAAAGTATAATGGCAGCCGCACCCCAGAGTGGGGGGTAAAAAAACCCAACATGGCACCTAAGGACCTTCTCTTCCTACTTTCCCCTTTTTTTCACTGGTGCAAAAAGTTCCTGCGGGTGTAAACTCTCCTGCCAGCACCAATTTCAAATCTCACTGGAGGGGAAACTTAGCCCCAATAAGAACTAATTCCTGGGCTCCGGAACTGATATCTGGAAGAACTTGCCAATAAACCCGCCATTTATCTAAGCCTTGCCATCTCTCCTTGGATCTATATAAGCACACAGCCTTTTGCAATAAAATTGGAACTCTCCCCTGTGAATTGTCTTGCGAGGAGGATTCTTTCACAATCCAAAAAAGTTCACAAAAGCACTTTTTTCATGGGAGAAGACTCAACTGAACAACATAGCCCATTAATCAACTTAATAACTCTTACATTTATTTAGAGTCTCTAGAATTATAAAAATATTTTTTCTAAAGACAAAATATTCTTAAATATTAAAAAGTTTAAAATCACAGATTTTTCTTCTAATTCACATAGTTTCTACAATTTAGCCCACAATACTCTGCAAATGAAAGCATACTTCTGGAGAGAAATTTCAAACCCACTAAATTTTTAAAAATCATCCTGGAGTCCCTGTTAGGGCTCCAATTGTCATGTTTCTCATGACTAAAACACTCAGGGTCACTCCAGGGGAACTGGTCTGCACAAAATAACTACACAAGAGACAGAGATACCTTTTTCTTTGGGGTCCTGTGATGGCTCTTCTGACCTTAAGGGTCCAGAGAGAGAGAGAGAGAGAGAGAGAGAGAGAGAGAGAGAGAGCCAGCACATGCTGACCCCTTTTATTGAGCAGAAGCCATTCAAATGAGTCACGGAGTCAGGTTTCAGGGGGTTGAGTCTAGTTTTGTGATGTCTGCTGTCAGCAGGTTGACTGACATCTAGGAAGGCCACACCCAAAGGCAGAGCAAGAGAATGGGACACACAAAGGATGTTTCCATGGAACATTCTATCCCAAACAGGGCAAAGAGATAATATCACAAAGGAACAGGTGAGTGTAGCTCAATCCATGGGGTGACACGCCTACATCTGAAGATGTGTCCTCAAACTTCCAGGACTGGGGCAATATCCAGGTCACTAGGAGATGTAGTGATGTTCAAAGCCTCTCCACTCCAGGAAGGAGAATGTGAATCATTTAGACTAGTTCCACACAGTACAGAGAGGAAGGGATGAAGCAAGGACAAGTGAAGCCTTAGTACTGATTCTGAGCCTATCTGAGCCAGCCATTCTCTATTCCTTCTTCTAGTTTGGCACTGGGCCCCAGTTACCCACAGACAGAGGCATTTCAATGAGTCATTAGTTATAACAAATGCAGGCAAAAGCCAACACTCTTTTAGGCACCAACTTCTACCAAATACCTTGGTTTGCTGAAAACTTAGAGCTTAAGAATAATACCCTCTTGGATCCTGAAGAAATCAGCTCTTTGAGAGAAAAGGTTAAGTATTACTGGCATCCCAGGTGTCCCAATTTTCTCTATGAGATGAGATAAAGAAGCTCTGGAAAGGAAATGGCTCAGAGACCTGAGGGCCCTGGATGGATAACTCACCAAAGCTCTCATCAGTTAATCTTACCCCACCCTGCCAAGTCACCAAGCAAGGCTCAAAAATCCCTGGGCAATTCCATTTATATGAGATAGTTCAAGGAGTCAAAAAATAGAGACAGAAATTAGTACAATATTTGCCAGGAGCCACAGAGAGGGAAAAATGGGGAGTTATCAATGCTTTCTTTTCTCAGTGCTGAGGATCCAACCCAGGATCTTGTACATGGGAGGCAAACACTCTACCACTGAGGTACACCCCCAGCCTGGGAGTTATTGTTTAATGAGTACTGAGTTTCAGTTTTACAAGACAAAAAGTTGTGTAGGTATATGGTGCTAATGGTTGTACAACACTATGAATGGACAGGTTTAAATAGCCAAAATGGTTAATTTGTTGTTATATGTATTGCTCCACATTAAGATAATAAATTTCTAGTGATGTGTTAATATATTATAAATAACATAATTAAGAAAAAATCTGAGGGCTGCAGATGTAGCTTAACGGTAGAGGGCTTGCCTAGCATAATTGATGCCCTGGGTTTAACTTTAGTACCAGAAAAAAAGAGAGAGAGAAAAAAAAAACTTTGAACAATAAAAAGACCCATGAAGATAACAGTGGAGTTAGGAAGTTATTTGTGTATTAAATAAGGACTGGTTAAGCACTGGTCTAAACACTAGGGGATCAGAGTGAACAAGGCATTTAATATCTACCTTCCAGGGCTTAAAATTTATGCAAATGCTTAATGAGCAATGGAGAGAGGAAGCCATTTGGGAAAGATAAGAATATATGGGAATTAGATAGAGATGATAGTTGCACAACTCTATAAATGTGCCAGACACCTCTAAATTGTGTATTTTACAATGGTTAATTTTATGTCATGTGAATTTCACCTCATTTGAATGAATAAATCAATAAACAAATAATAAACAAGGTACCTGGCCTAGAGATAATTAAAATCAAATTCCTCGCCCAGATAATTTTTCCTTGATTTGTTGACTGGTTCTAAAGTTTTCACATATATTTTTTTTTTGTTCAATAAACGCACCATTTGACAAGAATAAATAAAAAGAATCATCAAAAACATGACTCTTTATGTCATCTAGAGACCCACTTGATAATTCTATACTGAGAAAATCATTCTTTCTTTCGTTCATTCATTCATTCATTCATTCATAAGATTCACTCTATGTAAATACTGGTATTACAAACTGAATAACATAATTCACTGCCTCAGACCCTCCTGGTCCATCGAGGGAAGTTTGCACACGATATGCACCTGCTGTGCAAGGATGCTTTCCCCTCGCCTCTTCACTAAGTCTCACCAACATTTACACTCAATTAAAACTTATCCCAAGAGGCTTTCTGACATGTGCTCCACCCCTAGCCTAAAGACATCCTTAGAAATTCCTATTCTTCCTACAGTTGTCTCATTTTTTAATTATGTTTATTTGTATAACTATATGTCTAATGTCTACAATCCCCCACTAAGCTATAATCTGCATGAAGGTAGCACCAGGATATCTTAGCCTTCACTGTGCCTAAGCCTGGAGTTGGCATATACTAGATGCTCAATAAATATTAACTGGATGAATAGAAATAATGAACATAAGCAATTCCAATGCAATAGATATTCTGATAGTGAGGCAGGACATATTTGACTTTATCTTTCCAAGGGAGAGAGTGGCAAAAGAAACAATTATGAAGTGGTGATAGTTGTACATAGTCTTAAGGGAGAAGTAGGAACCCCTGATGCATCATAGCTGGAGAAAGGTAGGGAGGTGTGAGAGCACATGGTGTGCATGTTCAAGGAGTGGAAGCATTTGTTTTCTGCATGACTGGGGAGAACAGTAGATGATAATGCAAGAGATATGGACAGGACTTGGACCACAGAAGAGCACATGCAGTTTGCCAAGCTTGCTGGAATTCACTCCATAGAATAATGAGGAGCTCGTTCAGTCAGAGCGAGAACATTCCAGAGGTCGCCAGGCTCGGCGCTGCCGGTGTGGACGCGGACGTCGCTGGGACAGCCCTTCCCGCTGCTCGGCGGCGGCACCTGCCCAGCCGCCCTCCGCTCGCCCGCCTCGCTGCTCCGGACCCGTTTCCAGCGCCTCTTCCTCCCAGTCCCGGGCGAGCCTTGTTGGGTTTATGTCTTTATTTGACGAAAACGAGCTGTTGCGCAGCCATTGGTACCTGTATTGGGGAAACATAGTGTACAAGCAAGGAGCTTACAGCCTCAGCGGCGAAAATTTTTTCATGTCAGACACCGAGAACTCTTGCAGTCGTTTATGTCATCCCTTCTTCTCCAGACAGAAGATACCAAAAAGTTGCAATCAAAGATCTCTTCATCTTATTGATAAAGCCACTAATAAGCCAAAATGTCTGTCAACGTCAACCGCAGCGTGTCAGACCAGTTCTATCGCTACAAGATGCCCCATCTGATTGCCAAGGTTGAGGGCAAAGGAAATGGAATCAAGACAGTTATAGTCAACATGGTTGACGTTGCAAAGGCGCTTAATCGGCCTCCAACGTATCCCACCAAATATTTTGGTTGTGAGCTGGGAGCACAGACCCAGTTTGATGTTAAGAATGACCGTTACATTGTCAATGGATCTCATGAGGCGAATAAGCTGCAAGACATGTTGGATGGATTCATTAAAAAATTTGTTCTCTGTCCTGAGTGTGAGAATCCTGAAACGGAACTGCATGTCAATCCAAAGAAGCAAACAATAGGTAATTCTTGTAAAGCCTGTGGCTACCGAGGCATGCTTGACACACATCATAAACTCTGCACATTTATTCTCAAAAACCCACCTGAGAATAGTGACAGTGGTACAGGAAAGAAAGAAAAGGAAAAGAAAAATAGAAAGGGCAAAGACAAGGAAAATGGTTCTGTCTCCAGCAGTGAGACACCACCACCACCACCACCAAATGAAATCAGTCCTCCTCCACATGCTGTGGAAGAAGAGGAGGATGATGATTGGGGAGAGGATACAACTGAGGAAGCTCAGAGGCCTAGAATGGATGAAATTAGTGACCACGCAAAAGTTCTGACACTCAGTGATGATTTGGAAAGAACTGTAGAAGAGCGTGTCAACATCCTGTTTGATTTTGTTAAGAAAAAGAAAGAAGAGGGTATCATTGACTCATCAGACAAAGAAATTGTCGCAGAAGCAGAAAGGCTGGATGTAAAAGCCATGGGCCCTCTTGTTCTAACTGAAGTTCTTTTTAATGAGAAAATTAGAGAACAGATTAAGAAATACAGGCGCCATTTCTTAAGATTTTGTCACAATAACAAAAAAGCTCAACGATACCTTCTTCATGGTTTGGAGTGTGTGGTGGCAATGCATCAAGCTCAGCTCCTCTCTAAGATTCCACATATCTTGAAGGAAATGTATGACGCAGACCTTTTAGAAGAGGAGGTCATCATCAGCTGGTCGGAAAAGACCTCTAAGAAATACGTATCAAAAGAACTTGCCAAAGAGATTCGTGTCAAAGCAGAACCATTTATAAAGTGGTTGAAGGAAGCAGAGTAAGAATCTTCTGGTGGTGAAGAAGAAGATGAAGATGAGAACATTGAGGTGGTGTACTCAAAGACTGCCAGTGTACCGAAAGTTGAAACTGTGAAGTCTGACAACAAGGATGATGACATTGATATTGACGCCATTTAAAAGAATGGATGCAACCTAGCTTAACAGTGTAATGCTGCAAATTTTTCTCCATTATCAGCCAGAAGTGCAACATGTATGTGTAAAAGCTAAAATGGCTTAACATCATGCTACACTTTAATACTAAAAATCTATTACTGTGAGTGGTCTGTAATTAGCCCAATGAGACATCTAGGAAGTCCATACACACATCAGTGAGCAGATGTAGTTTGCTTATTTATAGCATGTTTCTTTTGGAAAAACTAGTGGTGGACACATTTGGATCACATTTATACAGTTATAAAAATAAAGATTTGATTTTGGTCATTCTTCAGATTTTGGGCTCTGAATGACTTAGCTAAAGTAATTGGCTCCTTTTAAAAAGTGGTGCCATCATTTAACCTGACATGGTCCTTGGAGCCTGGTAGATTTTGTTAGATGCTGAGACCATTCAGGGGTTTTCAGCAGAATGTAAACAAACTTGTTTGTAATGATCTTACTGAGCTGTTAAATCTAGTACTTTTGAATTTTTTTAGTCCCTCAAATTGGCATCTGGCAATTTTTTTGTGCTGAGGTAGACTGATAATCAAATGACAGTGCAACATCTTGTTGAGAAATAAAAATAACCTGAGTGTCCTATAAATAATTTTAAGAACTAGTTTTGAAGTTTGGAGTTGTGATTTTTTCAGTTCATGTACACTAGCCCCCAATTTTAGTCTTTGGAGTCATGTGCATTGCACGTTGGATGAGCCAGGGAAAAATTATTACATTAACAAATAAGTATTTTAATGTGTATGTAGTGGTTGCTTTGTACCAAGAGAAAACTCAAACTTTGAGGTGTGATTAAATAATAAATTCTGATTTTAGTTGGGGGAAACAGGGAAAGGTGCATTTAATCTCTAGCAAGAACTGAGCGGTTTTTCCAGCTTTTACCCTTAAGGTTTAAATTATAATTTCAAAATGTTGAGACATTCTATCTTGTGTTCAGTATGTCGTGCGCCCCCCTCCCCCCCAAAAAAATATCGTGGTTTATTCAATGCCTTTTACATTTGGACACGTAGCTTATGCTGTTTTAGATTTTGGTTATTGCCTTGCCAAAATAAGTATTGCTATATTTCAAATTGGATTTTTTTTCCCCAAAAAAGTCTTATTTAAAAAAGAAACAAGTTAAAGGCATATTTCTAAGTCAGAGCCTATATTTTGGTGTAAGACTTGGGAGGGATATTTTTTACTTCACATTGAATATAGCTGGGCTCCCAAGAAGTTTGGATGATGGCCATTGGGTGTAGGTGATGAGTCTGAGAGCCCATCCAGGGCCTTGTATTTGGACTGACACAGGTGAATTTCTTATGCAGTTAGCTGATGAAAACTTTTGATTGGGGTTCTGACTTTGAGTTTATAAAAACTTTGCATTTATTCTTTTCCACAAAAAGTGCATTCCAGGCATTGCAAAGTCCATGTGGTTAATTTTGTGTGGAGCACTGGCTCACATTATTCAGCTCTTGTTTGTGACCCATCTCACAGATTATGAGACTTTAATGACATGTATATAAAAGTTTTTCACATTGAAAGTATACAAATATTTGAAAATAAAACCTTGTTAGCTTGACACTTTACAGAAATAAAAACCTAACAGTCTTAACATGGACAGAACATAGATCTCCCTCTGCCTTTTGATAGATTCTAGTGAGTGAAGAGCAGGAGCTATATACCTGAAGGGAACATGCTGTGTCACACCAAAGAGGGGACTTTTGCAAACTCCTGTAACCTAGGTCAGATTCTTTGGGCAAGGCCCATTTGCTGTCATTAACTAGATTCTATCAGAGGTGCTGGTGACCCATGTAGAGTGTACTTACTACACGTGTCAAGCTGATGAAGTGGTTGTTGTAGAGCTGTGTGGCTTTTACTCTAAGGGAAATGTGTCAGGGCTTCTCAACACTAAGGGAGAGGGTTAGGGCTTAGACCAGTGTTAAGTCTGGTGCCAAACTTTAGTGGAATTCAAATTCACATGATCTGGATTTAATTCACAGGTAACCTAATAGAGTAATCCACTTTGCTCTATTGAATTGTCTTAAAATTTCCTGTTTCAAACAGCTGCATTACTTGATTAAAACAATGTTAAAATTCAAAAAAAAAAAAAAAAAAAAAAAAAGAAGAAGAAGAAGAATGAGGAGCATGTAAAGCAGGGATTCCTGTCATTAGACTCATGGACCATTCAGAAGTTGGTTTCAGACATCCATTAACTCCCCAAAATTGTATGCCCATATAAACATGGGCATGTAGGTATTTTTTTTTTATCCTTTTTGAAATAAAGAGTAAACAAAGGGGATGGGAATGTTGCTCAGTGGTATAGCACATAATTAGCATGTGTGAGGCTCTGGGTTCAACCCCAGGCACCAAAACAAACAAACAAATAAGCATAGTCACACAATGGTGGATGAATGAATGGAGGCATGGATAGCTTTTCAATGGAAAGAAGAGTGATTGATGAATATACAATTGGGGGATGGAGAGATGGATGAATAATGGAAGGATAGATAGATAAATGAAAGCACTCTGAATTAAACATTAGGAGAGCTGTTCCCTATCTTTGCAGGACACTTTCTAGTGTCTAGTTCACCCACCAGGTATCAGAGATACTGTGAGCTAACAGTGATCCCATAGTACCAATGGCAGTAGTATTGTATTAAAGGGAGTTTCAAAAATATTTATAAAGACAAGTGACTCAGTGCTAGTCTATGATCACAATCAGCATAAGTCAATGAGAGGATTGTGTACTAGTACTTAAGTTGTTGCTGACTAGGGACATTGACGTTTTCCAGAATGTTATTCCTGGGAAAGAAGGAAATAACTCGAGTTGAGTGAAACTTCACTCAGTATCAAATATGGAACAACCAGAACATCAGTCAAAATAGCAAAAGCAGAATCAATGAAAACTCAGGAACATGAGCCACAGAGGATGCTGGCAGTGCATGGGTCCAAATGCCAAGGAAACATATATAAATGAAGAGTGCTCAGGGAGGGAATTTTGAGGATATTGAGCCCTGCTCTGGCCTATACTATTTGCTGATCCATAGTCTCATTATTTATGGCTGTTGTCAGAGTTAACCCCAACGGTTAAAGGAACAAAAAATGTAAAGTTATCTCATATAAATGGAGATATAAATAGTACATAACATTAAAAGCTACCAAAAGTATTTATTACTAATAAAAATGCCAATTAAAACTACAGTGAGATAATATGTTTAGCAGACTGGAAAAGATTTTAAATAAATGGATAATACATTACTTTTGTGAGGAAGTATGTACTCTCCCACACTGCTGATAGGGGACATAATTTTGCGTCACTTTAGCAGTAATTTGAGACCATCTATGAAAATTATACCATGAGAATAGATAAGACGCAGACTAGGAGAAAATATTTGCAATAGACATATCTGATAATCTACTCTACCAATATACAAATAACTTTAAACCTCAAAAATAAAATTAACAATCTGGTTTTAAAATGGGCAAAAGTAGCTACTATTAGCTACTCAGGAGGCTGAAGCAGATCAATCACAAGGTCAAAGATAGCTCTGGCAACTTAATAAGACCCTGTCTTAAAAATAAAATTAAAGCCATTCTTGGGATACATCTCTAGACCCCCTTTCCTGTGTTCAGAAGGCCCATTTTACTCTTATGTGCAAGTATTGGAAAACCTATAGGGAGAAAGCAAGAGATTATGAAAGACATAAAATGTAACTGTCGACATTCAGGGATGTGGCTGTTGATTTCTCTGAAAGGGAATGGGAATGCCTGGAGCCAGCTCAAATAGAATTTATATAGACATGTGATTTTAGAGAACTACTGAAACCTGGTCTTCCTGGTGAGGATAACTTCCCTTCAGACTTCCTAATTTGCTATTAATATTTAATTTATTTAGATTATTTCTTTATTTCTAAACAGCACAGCACTAGGATAGAAACATTAATAGTTACAGGAAGGATCCCAATGAAGAGTCATTCCATTTTCCAATAAGCAAGTCTAAGCCGTCCCTCACACCTTTCTGAAGCAAAGAAAAGAGCTCTGGGGAGAAAAGAAACAGTAGCCAAATACTCAGATGTGCAGAAATGAGTAAAACCGAAAACACAGATGAGAAGCCCAAAGGCCAAGGAAGATCTCAGAATGGTAGTTGAAAATGTATAATGACTATTTAAAATGACTATTTAGAAGCCTAAATTTATTTCTCTTGATACTATAGAAGAACACTTCCTGCCTTATGTTTATCATTCTTTCAAATTCTTTAAAGTTTCCTCCTCCCACTCCAGTGATCTCTGAGTATAGTAAAAGTAACAGCAAAAATACTCCCCTTTGGGAGTGTCTGCATGATCTGACAGCTTTTCCATTGCTTAAGGTGGTCTCTAGAAAATCTCTGCATATTTCTGGAGACCTTTAGATAAACTAACTTTTATATGCTAACATCATTAAAAAGTTTCTCTAATATTTATACATTTTTGAGTAATATTTTCTCATCAGAAGTGTTTATACACTCTTATAATAAATTTTATGAGAAATTTTTCTGCTGTATAATTAATGTCAATGATTCACAATAGTCATTGTGGGTATATAGTCACATATGAAAATTATAGTTACTCAGAAGGATTTTAAAAGTAATACATCTAAGGCTATTAAGGGTTTTGTAAATTAAAGTTTTTCTTTTTCTTGACTCCTTTTCTGTATTTCATTTATGAAATAAGTTTTATGTTATAGAATAGATTCCCTCATATACTTTAATAATGCTTTTATATTTTAACCTACATATTATGATGAATAGCAACTGTTATTACTTCACAATAATGTGAGTTTAAATTAAAATATGAAAAATCCTGTGTCTACTGACAATAAAAATTATAATTGTCCTTACTTGCTCTTATAAATATCACCCCTGATTTGCTTATGACTTGTAATTTTGCCTCACTTGGTTTTGTCTAGGTGCACATGAAAAGTTATAAAAATTATCTTATTTTTGTATGTATATGTATATGTATGTATATGTATATAGCCGTAAAAGGAATGGAAACTAGGGAGTAGTCTAATACTGAGCTGTATCCATAGCCCCTTTTATTGGGAGAGAGATTCTCGCTAATTTTTGAGGATGTCTTCTAATTCTCCTGTTTCAGCCTTCCTAATAGCTAGGTTTACATTCATGCCCATCATCTGTATATTGATGACTCTGTTCTTATGTCCAAAGAAAGATTTTATCATTTTAAAGACAACTTTAAACAATTTTTGTAATTCTGTTTGTCTTTTATGCAGTGTTTGAAATTTTGTGATGAAAATAATTCTTAATAAAC